CATCCTGACCTGTAGGCTGTGCAGGGAGCCAGTAGCCCATTTTCTTTCTCTGTGCTTTCTCGTTGGAGTTGCCACTTGAGCAGAAGGAGGTTATAATGTTGGTTAGCGCTGTGATATCTACAAACACAAGATGGCTTAGATTTTCTACCGCTGGAAAGCAGGAAGAGGACTCAAAGTCTGCTAACCAACGCCATGGCTTGACAACTCCTGACAGCCTCTGGAGAAGTTTGCTATACACACAGGACCTCAGCTCCCATAATTGCAGAACAATACAGCAGGGTTTAATGGTATTGTTATTAGGGATATAAATACCGTTTAAGAAGTTAATCGTTTAAACGATTAAAAATATTTTGTTTAAACGGTTAACCAATTAACGCACCAGCGGCTGGGGCTGATCTGGCTGGCATGGCTGGGGCAGCTCCAGGTGGTGCTGCTTCGGCTGGCGCGGGGCTGCTGGGTCCAGCCAGCCGGCTCAGGGGTTAATGATTAAGGCACGTTAACCAGTAAGACTAATGTTAACATTTTATATCCCTAGTTGTTATCAACAGTGTAGTTACAGCTCTTTGCCAGATATCCAAGCTCTCAGAGAGAGCTGCTCTGGATAAAATTGCCTGGGGTAGTACTTATCTTCCAGTTTGATTTTTGATAATATAAAAGGATTTCTTTGCCATCAGCAATTTCTGTCTGTTGTAGGCAGGTGATTTCCTAGAATTATACCATTAGCATGACCTGCATGTTGTAAAAGTGTTCAGTACTACAGGGCATGGCTCTCACTTTTTCCATAGTATGGGCCGCATCATACTTTCAGACACTTCTCTTCCCATTCAGGTTCAAGTACCATCCTCTGGCAGATACAGCCATTGGTTACCTAGAGAAGTGATTTTAGGAAGCCTTTGCATATTTGTAGCTTTTAGTGTGAGAAGTGTTTGTCCATTTTAAAAAAAAAGAGTTACTCACAGAGGCTGCTCCAGCTTTGCATTTCATCTCCCCTCACATCCACGCTGTTTCTCAGCTGGAAACAAGGAGGAAAACCAGCACCAGGTCACCAGGCAGCTTTTTGTGGACCCAAGTTTGGGAACCTTAGACACAGGACACTTCAATTGCACTTTAAATAATTTAACCAAAGTTACATTCTCAGCAGAAAGTATGTGATACTGTAACACTGACCCTATATAAAACCCATTCACAACTCCCTGCCTCTGTACACTGGGGGAGAGGATGCTAAATAGGACAACATTCTCTGTCTTCTTTCCTACTGCTAACTCTCCAAGTCTGCAGAGCTTTCTTGTGACTGAAGTTCTATCCAGTATGAAACATGCCATTGTCCATACAGAAAATATTTGATCTCATTCAAACAGCCTTCTGCCTGTTAAGCAGTTCAGTGGGGCTTGCCCAGAGCTACCTCCATCAGTATCTAGTAGAAAATGTATTCTGAATCCAAAGTATTGTATATACTTGTAATTTTCCCCATGAACTAATGTTGCAAATAACCCCTCCTAGGTTATTCTGACAGAAGGGCTGTAACCTGTTAGTCAGCTGATTGGTATGTATCCTTGTACCTTCTCCCCTGGTACTGCTTAAAAGCCTTCTAGAAACACAGACTTGCTCTGATCGCTGCTTTGTATCCTGAGCAGGGAGATTCAGACTAAATATGGTGCAGACTATGGAACCCAAGCTTGTTAAACAACTAAAGGATAATAAAGGCATTTTCTTTCATAGTATCACTTTTGGGGGGGGGGCAGTCTTGCTATCACTGTATTTACGTCTCTCACCTAACAGTCCCCCTTCTGTAAGGTTTCCCATAAAGGAAAGAAAGAAGAAATCTGTTGTGACTGATGGAGCCACACTGGCAACTAAATGATGCAGCTTTGGGTAGCAGGCACACTTAAAGGGAATATTTGTGTTTGCCTATAGTAGCTCTTCTTTGAAATTGCTTCTCAGTTAAGAGCCTTTACAGTCGCACTCAATGAAAGACATGCAACCCACTCTGCCTGGATGCATGTTTCCTAGGCAAGTCTGGGGTCCCTTCAGCCAGCTGTGGGTAATTTAGGAAAAGTTGATTCCATAGAGACATTTCTACTATGTATGCCATTTGCAATTTCATACTCTGCAGTTTTCCTGAAGTGTGGTTAACTACTGAAAATCTAGCGGGCCCAATTCATGGCATAAATGACACAGAAAACACACATTTCCAGGGCAGTACATTAGCATCTTAATAGAATTATTTAAAAGGACACACATACTTTTTAAATAGCTTTTCACTCTTTCCCCTTTCTTTTCCATACTCTGTCAGAAGCTGCAAAATAGACCTTCTACCTTACAGTTTCAGCCTTTTCTTTTAGGCAAATATAGGTGGGGTATTTTCCCTTTTACCTTGTAGGTTTTGAATAAGGTTAAATTGAACACAGCTCCTTTTTTGTTTAAGTGCCACAGTTCCAGTGTATACAGTCCCAACGTGCACAGTGCACTGGGAGTTCTGTTACTCAGCTGCAGCTGTGAATCCAACGGGACCGGCACAAAGCTTTGTGTTATGTGATTTCATGAAAATAACGGCTATTGTGTATTGTTTAATGTATTGAGAAAGAAGATAGGTTTCAGTCTCTCTGTTCTTGATTGGCTGGGAAGTTGCTTTACATGTACACAACTCTGACACTATCAGTCAGAAAACTTGGCTGAACCTAGAAGGGCACATGTAGCCCAAGTAAACCTGATTTTCCCAATAACTCCTACTGGTGACCCTAATAATCCTAAGGCTAGCCTATGAGTCTGGCTCAGGAGTCTCTAGCAGCATGATCAGGGCACTTGGGGACGCTTGGCTTGTGTACAATGATGAAGTTCACTCCAGTCCATTTGCCTAGGGAAGGCTATGTCTCTGTGTAGGTAGAGTTAAGCCAGACCTCAGAGTCAGTCCAACAGTTTGCCTTCTTGTCCTGTTGCTCATTTTCAGACCATCCTCTCAAGTGCTGCGTCCAGTCTGTGCTGAATTCACTTGCACCAGTATTGAACAGGTGCACAGTAGGGTGAGAGAGACCCAGACAGACCCATCTTTGGCATCTACTGTCAGTTAGATGCCAAAGATGTGATGAAGCAGTGGGCTCCCCCACTCTCCTCCAGGTTGGGCAGAGGCTGCAGATATTGGCTCTGGACTCTGTCAACAGTGTTTGTTCTGTTCTGCGTTGGCTTCATCTTTACCTAAATTAGCTTTGTGAGCTGAGATCTGTTGGTATTGGCCCTGAGCTCTGGTTTGCAGGGTCATTCTGAAGCCTCCTGTCCCCACATTGGTGGAGCCCTGGCAGAATTGCCCTTAACAGCCAGGCTGATGTCTGTTGTTTTCATGGTCCTCTTTGAAGCATCTGGATTTGATCCATGCTGATGTGACAGGTTCAGCCGGATAACGGAGAAGGTATTTTTGCCCTTATCTACCATAGGAGTGTCCTTTGCGGAGCACCAGGAAATCGGCCATTTCTGCATTGACAGTGCACTTAAATGCTCTGCACTCAATTCCTCTTGGGGAGCATTGGGTCTGATCCTGCAAAGTGCTGAACACTTCAACCCAATAACATTAGTGGGAGCTGGGGGACTCTTCAGCTCCCAGAAGAGGCTTAGCACTTTGCAGAACTGGGCCCATCATCTAAACATGTCTCCTGAGCTGACATCCCATTGCACTGGGTTTGTATTTGTATCAAATGGGATTCTTCTTGATGTTTGAAAAAATTGATACCTTCTTTGCTAGACACGCGTATGGTCAGAGTGTCCCTCATTGGGACAGTGCCCCTAACTCCCTGCTGGGAATCTGGGTTCAGTAGTGAAGACTGTCCTGTACTAAAATGCCATTGTTACTCCCTGTAGCACTAGGGTTGTCCTTGGTGGCCTCCCCTCCAAGGGCTGATCAGACCTAGCCCTGCTTAACTTCAGCACATTCCCCGCAGTGAAGTAGGATCCTTTTTCGGAATCTTTTCTTCCTGGTTTGAACGTGCCCCTAATCAGAATCTGGCTTGTCTCGTGTGGACAGTGCCATTTGGCACTTGGAGCTCCTGAAACAGAGAGACTATCGTTTATAACCGAGGTGGGGGAGGAGTGTGTGCCCTGGCTTCATCTTCCTCAGAGTTTCAAAGCAGCCACAGGCTGGGCCCATTGCATCTGTGCTCCTCCTGACCATGCAGCAGGGCTAGTGACACACTGGCAGGGGACTCGCCTGGCTCTAATGTCTGTTTATTCAGCTTCACAGCAGCCACAAGATTTTGGTTGAAAAACAGTCAGAGAAGTTATTCCTCTCCCAGTAGCTCTGTCTGTGCCAAGCAAGAGTGGGCCGGCAGCACCATCTCAGCTCCTGGGGATGCACCAATTCCATAGACCTCAGACTTATGTTCTGGGCTTAGAGTAGGCTTGGTTGACCTGCCTTCAAATTAGTCCAGTTGGGTATCTGTGGTGGTAAGGAGTGGAATGGGGAGTGGCTGTGGGGCTAGGAGGGAATGAAGAGAGAAGAGGAAAATGAGCTTTTCTCATCAGAGAACTTTCCATTCGGTGTTTTTACACCACCAGGAAACACCCAAGTAAGTAACAGCACATTGAGCGAATTCTCCAAATTCTGCCTGTTTGGGCTTGTGGGAACTAGCTGTGGCCTCCTGAGCACTGGCTCTCTTCCCCTGTGCCTCTGTTTGGGCCCTGTCATTTTCTGTGGCACTCAGAACCTACACGGCTGCTTGGGGCCATTTTGATGAATGTCTGAGGTTGGTTCTTTGTAATGTTTGAAAGTCATTAATGGGTTAAAAAGCACCGTGGTGTTAAAGAGCCAGAGGAGAGGATAAGGCAAGTTGTTCTGTAACTGAAATTCATTGGTATCCAATATTGGGAGGGGCCTGCTGAGTTCTGTGACTTTGTAATCCTGCGGTTTTGGAGTTTCCGGGAAGCACAAGGAGTCACCCGTTGTAGCTCTTTGGCATGCTCCAGCTCTTTCTGGCCCTTTGCAGTTGTTATTAACTGGTCTGTTTGCTTTCCAGCTGGCAGGGTTGGCTGTCATTGCCTTTGGACTATGGTTGCGATTTGGTGGGGTCCTGAGAGACTTAACCTCAGAGGAAAAATCCCCAGAGTACTTCTACATGGGTAAGTTAAGGCACTTAGACTTTGGCTGTATCTCCAACCTCAGTTTCACCAGCAGGTATGATCCCAAACACTACTCTACACTACACATACAAAAGTGGTGCTTGAAAGTCTGACAGGTGAATGGCACTAACCTTGTCTCCTGCCCTTCCCATGGCACATTAAGTGACAGCCTCTCTCAATTCTCTCCTTGGCAACAACTTTTGCAGACCTGAATTAATTCCTAAATATGATTTCATAGTTGAATTTTTCTGTAATGCTGATGCTTATGAAACAGAAACTGGGAAGGATTGTGCACTCATTCAGGTCTGCCTACCACAGCACCCTTTGAGGCCTTTCCTTTCCCATGCTAGCCAGCAGCATGGTGAAATTGGAGTGATCCATATCCTGCCACATTAGAAGCAGTGGCAAGAACATGTTTCCATGAGATTGCAACAGGATCATTTCTGCATATTTCAGGTACAGCTCCAAACACAATGGGAGGACTTACTGCTCATCGCTTCTTCTTGCCCCTGCACACACAGGCCCTCAGTGTTGTCTCAGTGGAATTGGAACAAATCCTGTCATGGTTGAAAAGTAGAATTGCACTGTCATCACCTCCAGAATTGTTCCCACAACCTGAGCAGTGACTAGCCCAGCTCCTCAGCCCTAGGGCGCTTTACTTCGTCTTATGTAAATTTAAAGATGTAATTTTTCCAAAGCTCCAGATGTGCTTTTCAAGCACTGTTGGGGTGTTCTGGGGGCTCCAGATGTTACATGTATATTATGTGCCTAACTGGTTGTTGTGCATTGGTTGCCTGTGGTTTCATACTTCCCATTTCTTCATCCATCCATTTCCAATTGTGAGACACCTCCCATGCCCTTGATTTGTTTCCCCTTTCCTCTCTGATCACGTTAGGAGAAGTCAGATTCTGTCTATTTTAAGCTTTAAGCAGGTTCACTCAATGCAATCTGATTATCACACTCATTTCATCCTTCTCCAATGCCAAGTGCAGAGCAGCAGCTGGGGATCTCCAGAGAGAGAGAGAGAAAATCCTGGCTGCTCGTGAAAGAGTATTAAATATGAATCACTGGAGGAGTTGAATGCCTGCCAGAAGTGAAAGCTGATTCAGCGGCAGTGCACGGCACCAGTTATTTCTATCCTGGAGTCTTAGTCCAAGTTTAACCTTCTCTCCAGTTACCTTTAAATGACCATTGTACAGTTAAGAATTGACCCAATCCCCAGTCTCTTGGTGGGTCAAACCCACTTCTTCAGATGCATGGAGTGAAAATTACAGATACAGGCATAAATATATATTGACACATGAAGAGAAGGGAGTTACCTTACAAGTGCAGAACCAATGCTGAAGGCCAATTTAGTCAGGATGGATGTAGTCCACTCCCAATAATTGATGAGGAGGTGTCAATACTAAGAGAGGGAAAATTGCTTTTGTAGTGAGACAGCCACACCCAGTCCCTATTCAAGCCCAAATTGATGGTGTTAAGTTTGCAAATGAATTGTAGCTCTGCAGTTTCTCTTTGAAGTCTGGGCATCATGTACAGCCCCTAGCTAAAACCTCTCCAGCCGAACTGGACAGTTTCTATGTAAAAGGATACATGGACACAAATCAGACATCAGGAATGGTAACATACAAAAGCCAGTAGGAGAACACTTCAATCTCCCGGGACACTCAATAACAGATCTAAAAGTAGCCATTCTTCAACAAAATAACTTCAAAAACAGACTTCAAAGAGAAACCGTAGAGCTACAATTCATTTGCGAACTTAACACTATCAATTTTCCCTCTCTGGGTATTGACACCTCCTCATCAATTACTGGGAGTGGACCACATCCACCCTGACTGAATTGGCCTTCAACATTGGTTCTCCACTTGTAAGGTAACTCCCTTCTCTTCATGTGCCAAAATAAACCTCTTAATGTAGATTCCATCATCCTTGCTATGCAAAAAGTAGTTTCCTCTGGTGAATGCATAGTGGCATTTCTGAAAAGTTTAAGCTGCTGCTGTAGCCTTAAATGGAAATTCCAAGTGTTATTTAGATTTTGGTCATTTGAGCAGAGGCTTTGAGAATGTCCTTGTAAAAGTTCAGCTATATCTCCTGATCCAAAACTGGATTTAATTTCTGCCACGCTAATTTTCTTTGGCTGGGTATTTGTAGAACCCCTACACTGCAGTACCTATCTGCTAAGAGGGAAAGTTGAGGAACAGGACAGAAATGTACTGGGAAGTCCTTTGAACTTACACTGTTGCCTGCCCCATGTCCAGTCAAATCCCAGCTGAATAGTACTGTGGCCTGTGGGTAATCTGGCAGGGCTGCGCTATTAGCAAAGATTTTAGCACCCTCTACATCATGAAGAGCGAGGAAGAGAGTCAGTGTTTCTCTGTGCAGCAGGTTGTTCTGTTTAGGTGTTTGAACCTCACCCATTGCTGAGGTGCCCCAAGCACTTGACTCTCATTGTAACTTTCAGGTATGAGTCACCCCTCCCATTTTGTCCCTGGGGCCTATTCAGAGAGATTCCAGGAGTCTCATTTTTCCAGGGGGTGCACAGGAGCTGTGTATGTATCTTCTGTTCCAGACAAACTGGCCCCTTCATGCTGACAGCCAGGGTTTTGCAGCACTGAGTCCAAGTGCAGAGTGTGTTTGTGCTATGGAAGGGGCTGCTGCTCAAGGGCACTGCTGTCATCAATGTGACAGGGAGATATAAATATGTTTGGTTATATTAAAAATCTTTCCTCCAGCCTATTTATAATAGCAGCTCTGCAGCCACTTTCTCCAAGCCTGAGGATCCAGATCTTCACCTGTAATCGTATCAGCTCAGAGGCAGTACTGGGGCCTGCATTAGAGCTGCTTTCAGAGTCTGTTTTGTAGCTATGTTAGAGGTAGCTTTTGCACCATTCTGTCCTTTTGGCATGCACCACGTGGCAGGGAAAGGTGAGCAGTAAGGAACGGCTTAGCAATATGCACACTTGACATAGGGGAGACTCCAGAGAACCAGGAAGAGAAAAAATCTACTCTACTGAAAATGATAAGAAGACCAAGAGGAAATCATTAGAGCAGTGAGTATAACATCTGCTGTGGGACATCCTGGGAGAGCTCCTGGGGACCCCAGTCTGATCAGCATAGGACTGTTCTACACTCCATTTTTGTACCACTAGAACTATATCAGTTTAGAAAGAGAGATGGCTAAAGCGGTGCAACTCTAATGTGGACAGTCCTACTGGCATAAAGGTGCTTCAACATGAACTATACTGCTATAAGGACCTTTACACTTGTATAACTGCATCCACACTAGGTAGCTACACCGCTTTAAACCATTTCCAAACCAGTTTATAGAAGTACAAAAATGGGGTGTAGACCAGCTCATAAACTCGGTCATGGGATTCATGCTGAACTTGGCTGCGTAAGGCTTGTTCTCTGAGGAGATAACTGCTGCAGAAGAGAAGGGTTGTGCAGGGGGAGTGTTATGCTTAGTTTTAGGGCACTGGCTGTAATCTCCTTCTGAAGGACCGTGGATTGAAGGACGTAGTTAAAACTAGGCAGATGGAATGTAGTTAACAGGCCAAATGGACTATGCCTGTGGTGGGTTCTAAGGCTGTTCAGACTAGCTCCCGGGGAAGACACATTCTGCTCATATGGTACCTGGTTTGAACTGGTTTCCCTCTCACACTTATTTATGGAGTGAGATTTTCCTGCATCTGAAATACTTTAACATGATTGATAATTATACCCCTGTATTTTCATTTGGCTGGCATGAACCACCCCAATAACCTTGTCCCTCACCAGCAATCCGGCATCTTCTTTGCCCCCTGGATTTAGTTCTGGCCACACTTGCCAAGCAATCCAGCCAACTTTTCGAGCCACTGAAATACTCCTCTTGGTTGGAGACCGACTGGCAATTTTGACATAGGTAGATTTCTGTGTCAGAGGCTCAGGGCCATCTCTGGTTTGGCTTTTTGTTGGTGCTTCAGGTTCCTCATCACAGTTCACAAGAGCAGGATTGGCAGGAAGGGTATATTTTAGCACTATAGTAATCAAATCTTTTGACTCCTGCAGTCTCTCACCCCATATCAGTGGGCACGACACGTCTGTTTATGAATGAATATGGCAGAGCAAGAGGAGGCAGCCATCCTAGGCCTTAGCAAACTGCACGCACTGCCTAGACTGCTTGAGGGTTTTCACACCTGATAGCAAACATGCCAGTGCCTCTATGTTTTACACCATTTCACAGCATGTGTTTTATGTCTCTGCTGTAAGCAGTGAGATATAATGGCAGCATTTTGCTCCAGCTGTGATTATGCTCCCAAACAGTGATTTTTTTCCATTAGATTTCATGATGAATCTTCAAAGTCTCTTTCCTTTAATTATCTTCTTTCTGGGATATGGTTACAGTGCCGGGCTGCTACTATGCAGACTCATCTCGTCTGTGTTGTCTGCACTGGTTGGAAGAACAAAGATCTTTTGATTGTTTATTTCCTGAGACCATCAGGCCAAGAAATCTGAAATTAAGGGGCTTGCTTTCTTTGGGAAGAAAAATGAGCCAGGTTCACGTGCCGCCCTCTAAAGGGGATAATGGCCGCGGGCTGAACCCAAGATTTTAGTTGAGTGCATTTCAAAGTGTCTCTGTTCGGTAATTTCCCATTCCTAAGTGAACTTCTCACGCTGGTAGGGATGTTACCTGTGGGGCTGCTGCTTTTAAATTTAAAATGTTAAAACCCAAAATGAAGACAATATGATCCCGTCAAACAGGATGTTAAGTTTGTGACGTGAGAGCTGAGATGGGGAAGCTTCTATAGCAGGGAGTTAAAGCAACAATAGGGGACACTCCAGCACAAGGGCTCCCAGACCAGCCCTCTCAGCCGCCCACAGAGTCAAGTTAGAATTCCCTGTGTGACGCTCTGAGGAATCTCTCTTCCCTGTGGCAGTTGGGATGTTCAGCCTCACGGGTCCTAGACTTCCCCAGGTAGGGGCTGGGAACAGAGCCTTCTCCTAGGCTCTGGAGGTCA